GTAATTTGCTAACGAAAGGATGTAAACCGTTTTTAAGTGACATTAACAAACGTGTTGACGTCTTGATACTGACATAACGTTTCTCAATTTGTATACATTAAAGTAAATATCAATCATTCTGTTATACTGTAATTGTAGATCAGCAAGTCGCTGAATAGCAGCTAATTATAACATTACAATGTACAACATTGAAGTAATGAAGGTCTCGGTTTATTGATTACTTTTAAGTCAACATAATAATAAACACACTTATGAACTCGTTGTGCTTAATTATTAAAGATTTTGTCCTAAAACGAGCAAGTATATTCAGTACATTTATAATATACTAATATGCTCGTTTAGTTACCAATTTTAATACAACATCATGCTTGTTATACATAATTGACATAACTTGATACGTTATTCCAAACTGACATATGTCAATTCTGAATCGACATAAATTCCAAACTGACATATGTCAATTCTGAATTGACATAATTCCAAACTGACATATGTCAATTCCAAACTGACATAAATTCCAAACTGACATACAACAGTAATTACGTAATGGGCAATCATGTTTTGCACAAATCGAATGGAATGGTACATATTTTATAATTAAATACCGTACTCTAATAAATGAATATACATGAAAAAATTTTCGACCAACTTATTCAATTTCATACAATGACTGTAAAATATCAATTTTATGGTTCGAAAAATGTCTGAGATACACAGATGTTGCTTGTTACAAAAACCGGGCACTAATTTTATAAGCATAAACAGATTTTTTCGCTAATTATTGATAATCATTTCGTTAGCTAACCCTGCATGTTTAACGCGCGAATCAAGTTGCATCCCGTGCGTAATGTTACACACGATTCCTGTGATTCTATTGAAAATTAAAATCTCCTCAAATTTTATCTCAACACCCTCGACGACGAAGAAAGATAAAAAATCCACCAACCAAAGTGACAAGACGTAATGCTAACAAGCATTTCAAGAAGTCAGAATTACGGTACAGAACATGCGCATTAACAGTGATTATCTCGAATCTTTCGGTCACCTGATTGTTACTACATTGCAAAGTATTTTTGTCATCTACTAGGGACATGACCTGACTGCAAACTGGGATCCCAAGGCTACGCTTCGACAAAGTAAATTTTATCTACATGACCTTTCATCGCTACGCACATTGCAGAAGCAAGCACGCGATTAGCTTTGCATTTCTCTTGACTCTGCTCATAAACTCATCGACGTCGTTTTTCAATCGTTGTAGCTATCAAAAACTAGGACTGATGTCGATGCTGAATGCTCCGGCTGGAGGCGAATAATGAGGAGGAAGTTGATGTGGAAACATTGAAAAACATTTTGGGTCCAGATGCGGAGTGAGATGAAAAGGGGAATGTAATAAACGTTATTTTGGGAAAAAGTAAAGAAGAACTCGAAGAAGAAGTGTTTGATAAGGAAGTGGAACCTGCACCAGCAAAGACAGATATTGTGCGGGGTATGTGTGATCACTATATTTGTTGTTTTTTTGTAAAATTGCATATTATACAAAGGTTTCTTAAACGCAAATCGCATCGTATTAAATGTTTGTATAGCTCTTTTGAAGAAGAGGCTTCTGTCATATACAAGAAAAAATCATTTCAAGGGACAGCGCAAAAGCAATATATTAAACGGCTGATCGATAAACATGGCGGTAACTACAAAGCAATGGCACGGGACATTAAACTCAATATATATCAGCATACCAAGGCTTAAAAGCAAGTGTGAGAAATATTTGCGTGAACTGCCAACTAGCCCACGACAATTTAATGTATTATATACTTGGTAAACTTTGGCGGCACATCAATGTAACGATATTTAAAGTGAGAGTACAATAACGAGCTGTGAATCATGGGCGCGCTGCAGAAGAGGATTTACCGTTAGAAGGTTACGGGACAAAAGTATCGGCAAAGACCGTAGATTGGTATATCAGTAAGTATCATGTACACGACAACGAACTTTGTGAAACGATAGATTCTTTGAATTAATCGATTTCTCGTTTTCCCAATAGCGTTCGGCTACTCGTAACTGGGTCATTGCGCCGTTTTCGTCACTCATGCTACCCATGATCGTCTTTGTCATTACTATCGTCCAGTACATGCATGTAACAGAGACTTTCCCCCGCACCCTTCTTAGTTTTTATAAAGTAAAATGATATTATTACTTTATATTAAGCAAAATGCTCGAAAAAGTGTCAAGTTTAGTGATATTGCTGGTATTAGCATTATAAATAGCTTTACCTCAGTGAAAACATGCAGAGCTTGAAAACGCTCAAATTACGACTGGCCGATGAAAATCGGCCGGTAGCACGAGACACTTCCAGTTACTAGTTTCATAAAATGTAGTCTGTATTTATTACATATCCAAATGATCTACTTCGGCAAAGATAGCTAGAGACGCGCACGATTTTATTTTTGACTCAGCCCCACTTCCAGTTACTAGTTTCATAAAGATGTACTCTGTATTTATTAGAGACACGCACGATTTTATTTTGACTCAGCCCCAACATATTTAATTAATTTAGACGGAAGAGGAGTAAAACTTCGAATTATATGTTTATTCAAAAGGATGTTTAAACTAATATAGTAGATTGACTTTAATAATTTATGCAAACAGAACTAATTTTAATCCGAACTACATCTCTCACTTTTCGTCAACATCCGACAAGTTCAAATCTGACAACTGGTGAGAATAATTTCTTGGTTTGGGCAGACTCCCAATAGGCAAGAGCGTACTAGAATATTTACTCTCCTTCTCGAGACGTGACAATGGTTTTACATCGTTATGATAGATAGTATTCCACGTGTCATCGGAATCGTCCACGGGAATGAGATTGCCAATAGTACCCCAAAGTGTCAATGCATAAGGACGCTTATCAGGATCGGCATCACAACACCGCTCGGCAAGTTTCTTGTATTCCTCTGGTGCGGAATCAGGCATCGATGGTCGTAGTCCGTTCATAATGTTACATATTAAACTTTTGTCGAATTTCCGATTTCTAAAAGGCGGTTCACCAGTTGCAACCATATACATAATGATACCAAAAGAATATATGTTTGATTTCTGAGTAAACTTGCGGGTATGAAAGACTTCCGGTGCAGTAAAAGGTAAAACACCTCGAATGGTTGACTCACGCGAATTCACTGATCGAGACAGACCAAGGTCGCATATCCGTAGAGTATTGTCATCGTTCAAAACAATATTTCCGCCATGCAGATCACAGTGCACTAATCCTACCTCGTGAATAATATACAGATAATATACAATATCCTGCAAACACTTTAGTTTATCCTTCCACGTCAATTGGTTAATATTCCGATTCAAATAAGACAGAAGGCTACCATTGTTAGCATATTGCATAACAATCATGTACTCTTTTGTTTCTGGGTCTTGTGTGATTCCATAAATTTTAAGGAAATTATTGTTTATGCACTTGGCATGATTTCTGAACTAGTAATTGAAAAAATACAATGTTAATTACTGTCACTTTAATAGTATCATATACCGTACTAATTACTGCTTACCTCTGAAATAAACAATTCCGGTGTTTCATCAAAACTCTTAAATCGTTTGAGTACAACAGTTTCCGCCATATTCTCTACTTCTGCATAATTTCTATATTTGGCAGTATAAACTGATCCGTAACCGCCAGATCCGATCTCTTTAAGTTCATCAAAGTCACTATACTGCATGTGTTTTACATGTTTATTGTTTCGTATAAACCTGTCCAATATTGCATGTATGTCGTAGTAGAAAACTAAATAATATTCCCGAGTAGATGGATCCTGCGTGATCCCAATTATCCAAATATTATCTGGGATTAATATATCTGGGTATTCCTTAATTAGCTATTGAATAAACAGAATACGATAATCTATTTTTAGTATTAGCACACAATACACGTTAACAATACTATTTGCATTTTACACTTGAAATAATATACCTGATGGAAATCATCTCCTTTAGCAACTACCTTTTTGAGCGTCACACGAGTCAATTCATCCGTTATCCAACCTGCCGTGTGTGTGCATCCATGGCGTAATGATGTCATTTCTTGTACGCTTGTCAAAAAAGACTATTCAATCCATTGTATAAACGCATCATTTTCGTTGCTCATATTCTTCCATGATTCCATAATGAATGAATCCAATGATGTGTTGCCAGTAGTCCAATTAAGAGG